TCGGCCTCTGCAGTTCCATCAAATTTGGCAAACTCTCTGCTATGCTGGTGGTAATTTTACTATCACTACTAACGCCGTACATATTCGCATTTTGCCCTCTTGATGCCGATTGGGATCGAGAAAACAAGAAATGTTTTCATGTATCAGGCCATAGCCTCTCGTACACAGATGCCGTTGCGTATTGTGCAAGGTAAGTTGCGAAGAGACTAACAATAAGCCAAGCGGGCGCCTAATATCATAATTTTAGCTGGAATCTGGTTATTGCATCCATTACCGATTACTACGAATATTTGTCTGTCTCGAACCAGGCAAGGAAAAAGATAACTGTAAGCTTCTTTTCACGGCATATTTGTATAGAATGTTAGTGCTGGGAATGAAGTCATAAAGCGAAAGTTAAGGGCGACAGCAGATAATTATGGCTTGGAGGATTCTATAATGGGTCAAATATCGAATGGAAAGACGGTAGCTCGTCGAATTATACAAGATTAACGCCCGGTAAAGCCTTCTTCTATAGTCAGTGATTCGTCTGCAAATCCAGGCCATCTGACCCCCGGAAATGTGGTGTTAACCCTGAAAGGTAATTCATGGGAGACAAAAATGGATGGAGAACATCCTGTGGCGTGTTCTGGACCAAATTCGGTATTTTCTCCCGCCCTCGCCTCCGCCAAATCACCATCATTTTCAGCCGGATAAATGCACCTCGTATGTCTTTGAAGTGAAAACGCTATCAAGGTGTGACGATGGGTGGACATATTATTCGAGCCTGGAGTCGTGTTATAAGGTTATCACAATCTTTACCAAATTTTACGATCATCTTTAAGGTCATTGGTAGTTGGATAGGGTTCAATTGGACGGAGGCACGCGGTGAATGTCAGGGCATCGGGTCGGACCTTACCTCAATTTTCTCTATTTATGAAAATCTTATCGTTGCAGGTAAGAATAGTCTGAAAACAGTCAAGCACCGAACAATCGAGGTTTTTCATGAAATTTTAAAGGACTCGCCGCGACATACTTTGATGTGAATCATAACAGTCAAAGTTCGTCTCGACTCCATACCTGGATTGGCGGACGCAGGGTATAAAGAGCTCTTTAACGATAAACATAATTAATTAGGTAGGGGAAGGGCCAGATGATTTTGCATGGAGTGACGGTGCAAAATTCAATTATGCCTTTTGGCACCAGAACAGGTCCGCAAGAACGTCAATGACCCCTCAAAAATATCTCAAGGTAGACATTTTCCGATGGTCGAACAAGAACAGCATTTTTTCAGTATACCCTGTTATGTTCTCTACCAAGTAAGCTACCCTCTTTATGTATTGGGTCAAGGCCCGGCTCGGAAGGAAAGAAAATTTCGTATTGTAAAAATATTTTTAATCTTCAGTTTTAATTGGCAACTGAAGGACTATCTCAAGAAGGCGTTAAGATGGGATGAAGCCGACGAGTCCGCGATAGGCTATAATGCTGTTTGCAAAAAGAAGCCATATGATTGATCGTTCCTTGGTACAAATAAATGTTTTATCGGCAACTACACACGCATTTTTAGTCAATCGTCGTATAGATATAGGTCTTTTTTTCCGAATCCCGATACGAAGAAATGACAAATAACCCCTGCTGTCTCTTTATATAGCTTTTTTTTTAGTTGCAGCGCATGCTAATGGTTTCCTACCAACGAAGATTAACAAAATTTTCGCAAAAAGCTAATTATATCATCGCAACCAACACTGTTTGGCTAATCGACTGTGTGCAGGCTCGACTCGGCGACGCATCAAAAATTGAACGGCATCGCAACTGAACTCTGGCCCTGCTGTTATTTGATACTTTTCGATCACCGCTGCAATATGTGGCAGCTTTGTAGGCAATAAACAAAAGTCTCTTATAAACGACCCGTGGTTCACTCGGATTTCTCGATTTTCGTTACGACCTCTACACCTCAGTCTCAAAATTCTTTTACATTCACCGTTGCAGGATGTTGCAAAGCTTGTTTCTCGCATTCTGCTTTTTCACCAGCGCCCTGGCATTCTGCCCAAGGGATTCGGATTGGGATAGTGATCATCAGAAATGTTATCATGTGTCTCCATATGTTATGGACTACGAACAAGGCGTCGAATATTGCGAAAAGTAACGGCTTGATTTTGTTTCTTTACAGCCAAATGTCTAGTCTAAACATGGCAATTGCCTCCATTGGAAGTCAAAAAGAAAAGTTGATTGTGTTGCGGCAAGCAAGGAGGAAGGTTTCTGTAAGCATAACGCGTTATTATCCATTACAATGCACTACCAGGAATCAAAAAACTATTTCTGGCTTGGCGGCTATTTTGATGGATCGAGGATTCACTGGAAAGATGGTAGTCAGTCAGCGGTTTGGGCGACTAATGGTATCGGTTTTACCCGTTAAGAAAAGAAACGAGACCCGTCTCATTTTAGCAAATATTTCCAAAGGTGCTCTGCTAGGAAATATCAAGAATGACAGGTTGAAGTCGGGTGCAACGGATTTGAATAAATATCAAGTGGCCTGTTTTGGTGTGGATACGGTATGAGCTGCCAATTTCAAAGCCAGATAAACACCGATATCCAGGAAAAACCGCGGTGCGACGTTGGATGGATGTATTATCCGAGTAGCAAGGGTTGTTATAAGGTATCGCTAAACTGGATATCATCGTTGTATCCATTCAGTTAATTGGTGACCACGCGGGCTTCACTTGGCCTCAAGCACAAAGCCATTGTCAATCCATCCAAGCCAATCTTACATCTATCCACTCTTTGACAGAAAATCTGTTCCTTGCTGGTCAGCTCATAGCTATTATAATAGATTACGCAATGTTATCCCAGAGCTGGCCAAGACCTACTTCCCCGTCACCTCCGAATATCAAAAAAGAACTGGAAGCTACAATAATCAATATGAAACCCATTCACAAACCCACAAACTTCATACATGGATTGGCGGCAGAAGGGTAAGTGTTCAAATTGTATCTATCTCCTCGTTAAACCTAGTTTGGACCAAATTCGACGCATTTTGAATGGATAGATGGCACCGTGTTTGACTTTTCGAATTGGGAAACAGAACGCCAGGATGTTTCAAAGAGTTATAGGACATATGTCAAGGTATCTATAGAATTTTAGAAAGCTAGGCACTTTTTCCAGCTCTACCCTGCACTGTCATTGCTCAGGTTGGTCGTTTCGTTTTGTTTTTGATGCCTTGTTGGTCATTTGGTCAAGCAATAATACTTTGATTTCTAGGAGTGATGGCCCGGACACTGATTTCCTGGCCCGCCGAACGAATTGGGATGAAGCCGAGGAGAAATCGATGGGATATAATGCGATTTGTAAGAAGATGGCATATCATTGAGGCTTTGTTCTTACCAACCAGTATCAATAAACCTGTTATTGATTTTTTTGAGCAGTGTTAACAAAGAATACCGCTTACAGAAAACGTTAAAATGGTTGGAAAACTACTTTCACCGAGCCGGAACTTTTTCAAAGTTTTTTTTATGCGTTGCGTACATCTGCACCCCCATCTCCACATTCCAAAATCCAAAAAACCATCGCACACTTCATCAGATGACGTCAACAAATTATCGGAATTTCCCAGGAGCTCCCCAGCCGCCGTAATAATTTTATATGGGCGTTGTAAATTTTTTTCACCCCGGCCGATGAGATATGGTGATGGGGAGGGGGAAGGAGAAGCCGAGTGAGCTGGTCGGCAGACAAAACTTCCATCGAAATTTTGCTGATTTATCGATTTAAAAGCTTCGTTTTCATAACTCCAAAAAATTTAATTTTTCGATTTTTTGAAACTTCAATAAACACTTCTAGAACTCAACCTCGGGTATCCCGTCAATTTCTACGTCTATTAATGCGGCAATTTCTGATTTTATTTTCTCTACTTTTCGTGGAAAGTTGTGCGCTTCAATGCTTTAATCTAACGACTACTGTAGTTGATGGAAAAGCACAAAAATCCGCGTTGGTTAGTTGTTTAACTTTGATTTTTGATGTAGAAATTTTATGAACTCCTTGTTTTGCATTTTCAGACAAAAACCAACTGCACCACTACGCAGACATTTTGCGTGAAGTACGTTCAGGATGGAGGGGATGTCAAGGTTGGAATTTTTCGGGATTTGCGATTTTGTTAACTGATTATATTATGGTTTAGTTAACCCGCCTCGAGTGCGCCGACGTCAATTTAAATCCGGAAGATGATGCGGCGTGTCAGGTACTTTAAAAAGATCCAAAAAAAGTTAAATTTCTCGAATTCGTTGCCCAAGTTTTCTAAATGATGATTATACTTAGTTTAATTGATCATTAATACCATAAACTTTCAAAATAAAATTTTTTGAGGCCGCAACGCCTTAGGTTATTCAAATAGCTAAATTTTGTCGTTATTTTCAGCGTAGAATTTTCATAAAAAAGGACTTTATACAAATAAAAAACTGACTTATCCACTTACTATAGTTAAAATTATAAGTGTAAGTTAAACCAATTTAATTAAGCTATTTTATGTGTAAAATTTATATTGAAAATCCATCAAATATCATGACGTCAAAATACCTCCTATTCACCAGTTAAACCCATTTTTACCCCAATAAAATTCTAATTTTAGGCCAATTTAACTTCAAAATATAAGATATCGTTAAACTGGTCACTTTTTTATTCTTTTTATATAGGATTTGCCTAGAGCTATCCATCAACTTTTCAGAAAGTAGAAACCCGCCATCGTTACGAGGGCGAAATCAGTCACACGACAACCTGCTGCGATTCTGACCTGTGCAATCAGAATAATGGCTCTCAGGAAAGCCTCTTTTCGACTGTCACTTTATTTTGTGCCCTCTTCATTCCTGTGTTTTTCTCAAAATAAATAACCCTCAAACAATTCGAAACATTTCCTTTGTTAACACACCAAATATTATACGAAGAAACCAAGCAAAATAACTAGAGGGGGAAGTGAGATCGTTTTTTGACGGACGAGCCCTGCTTTCGTTGTTTTTCTTTTTCTTTTCGGCTGTTTAGTTCAACGCGCGGAATCCGAGGGCGCCAGCTCGACTGCCGAATCCTAAAAACCGGGTTAAGAAGATTTAAAATCCAATTTGCAAGCATAGTAAAAGCTTCGAAAGCCTCAAAAATGTCGAACAACTCGAAAATCTTTCAAAGCCCCAATTTTCTGTGGCAAGCGCCCAACTGCCATTCAGATATTACATTCGTAATAATTACTGTATCTGTTTTCTCTCAAAACCGATTAAAAACTAAATTAAATACGTCTAAAACCTCGTGAAACTCTTAAGATAGCTAAAAACCCGAAAATCATTCAAGGCCGCAATTTTTTGTGGAAAGCCTTAAACAGATAGTCAGATAAAGTAACTATGCCTTAAAATTGTTGAAACCTGCAGATTTAAAAAGTTATTACAAAATAAAGTTCATTTTAATTGATTTCCGGGAGAAAACGACTAAAAAAATCAGCTAAAACCTCTATATCGAAAGATTTCATAGCGATGAAACGCTGCTGATTCAAATAAGCATATTTTTCTCCCTACTTCCCATTAAAAATACTTTTAAAACCGGTTAAATCTGTTAACCAGTGGAAAAAGACCGCTTGCGCCCTTTTCCCTGGACCCGTCTGGGAATCATGAATTCCCTTTCCTTTTATTCAAGACTGTGGCGCAAGAGCCTGACTCAAGGAAACATTCATTGGCCTGCGGCGGCAGAGCCAGCTTTGCGCTAGAATCTTTGGGCCTCCGGCGCTAGTTACCTGTTTTCCCCCGGTTTGGCCTGCGGCGGAGAGCCTGGACCAAGGGCATTTCTTCGCCTGCGGTGCGAGTTACTGGTTTTTCTCCGGGATTTGGCCTGCGGCGCGGGCCTGGGTCAAGGGCCATCGTTGGCCTGCGGCGCCGAGCCTGGGCCAAGTACCTTTTTTTGGCCTGCGGCGCTAGAGCGAGGGCCAGGCCTAAAACTCGCATACCAAGAGCCTAGAAATATGTTTTGTTGTTGAACTGCCAAAAAAGCAAAAAAGTTAACTTCGGCGGCTGGATTCGAGCCCGGGCCACGCGCTTTGTAGACCGGGGGCCAATCCACTACACCACGGCGAGATGGGATAGGAGGCGAGAAAGGCCTCTGTCTTCTGTCCTGGGGCGGCCTCATACCGGGAGGAGGACTTCTGGTAACTTTACAAAATTCTCTTTTTGAGTCTAAATGCGGCGAAAATTTGTAAAAATAATAAGGTGCGCGTGATCTCCACTATCGAATACATAAGTGTTCCAAATTACAGCCCAAAATTCCATCTGAGCCTCGCGTTATGGCCCGGACACCACGGTTCATGGCCCATTTTGTTAAGGACTTTTAGAAAAATGCTCATAAAAACTTTTATTTTACAAAATCTGACAAACCCAAAATTATATATCGGGAGAATTCGATTTTCAATCCACTCTCCAAAAATTAGCGCCCAATTCGGTCTGGCAATCGAGATATCCTCTGAACAAACCTTTTTTCGGGCCAGATGTTAAGGATTTTTCACTATTTTGCTTGTAAAACCATTAGATATAGGAATTTCGAAAAACAAAAAATGCGTCACTGACAAATGTGTTTCTCCACCTCCATGCCAAAAATCAGCTCAAAATTCGGCCTTGCGGCCGAGAAATCGGCTGTACAGAAAACAGACATACTTTTCTCGCTTATAGGATAGGAAACTTGCCCATAATCCTGTGCTGCCGGGAGCGCTTTGCCCATCCCAATCCATTGCCGTCGAGTGAGTCAAGTGCCCTGAAAAGAGACCCTCTCACGTGTCCTCGGTAGTATAGTGGTGAGTATCCGCGTCTGTCACATGCGAGACCCGGGTTCAATTCCCGGCCGGGGAGAAGCTTTTGCTTTTTTGGAATTTGGTTTGGAAATGGGCTCTCGAGCCGAATTATGGACACCATCCGGAAAAGACACCATCCCGAAAGACACCATCCCGAAAAATTTGCATGCGAAAACTTCATTAGCATAGAAAAATAGCTCCTTTTTCTATAGTAGAGCTGACTTTTCGCATGCAAATTTTTCGGGATGGTGTGTTTCGGGATGGTGTCTTTTCGGGATGGTGTCCATCTACCCTCGAGCCCTGCCCAATGCTTTTAAAGTATTTTTAATAATGTTTTTTCGATTTTTTTTACCTCTTATCAAAGCCAAAACCAGCGCCATCCAGACTGCCAAGTGCTCGCTTGTCGAAACCGAAACCAGCTCCGTCGAGGCTGCCGAGAGCTCTAAAAAGTCTTAAAAGTTTGTATTTTGTAGCTTACCGCTTGTCGAAGCCAAAACCGGCTCCGTCGAGGCTGCCTAGGGCTCTAAAAAATGCCATAAAAATTAGAAACTCAACTTTACCGCTTGTCAAAACCGAATCCGGCGCCGTCAAGGCTTCCAAGTGCGCGCTTGTCGAATCCAAAACCGGCACCGTCCATGCTGTCGAGTGCGCTAAAGTAAACTTATTTAATCGTATATAAAATAGATTGATGATATTTAATGAAATATTGCCTCGAAAACAGAGAAAATACATAAATTTCAGCCTACAAAAATAATGGTTCAATTTATTTAAATTTTAACGTACAAAAATTTGTTTTTATATATTTTATATACTTAATTCAAATTACCGTTTGTCAAATCCAAAGCCAGCCCCATCGAGACTGCCGAGCGCTCGCTTCTTCTTGAATCCGAAACCGTCCTCCATCGAGTCCAGGGCTCTAAAAATTGCATTTTAAATTTTAAATTTTTGCGCTAATTTTTCTGTATTTTAATGCCAATTTCGATCTCTGAAACATCCCAGCTACTTTCTAGCCACATAAAAAATTTAATTAGCCCTCTTCAATTAGCTAAACGAGCCGGCGGAGGCGCGTTGAGTTCTGGGTAATTTCTTGCAAATTTTTGCTCTCTTTTTATTTCTCTCTCTCTCTCTCTCTCTCTCTCTCTCTCTCTCTCTGTCTCTCTCTCTTCCTCCAAAAGTGTTCATTGGACTGTCGCGTACTCGTGCCCGCAAAAATTGGATTAGCCCCTCGAAAAACCCCTAAATTAGGCACTTTTGAAGGTTGGCCTTTAGAGGGCAAGAATTGATGGATGGGCATTTTCCGGGCCCTTTCAGCTCATCCCATTTCAGAATAACTGGATTTTGAATAGAAAAAATGCTACCCCAAATGTGATATATAACTGCCATTTCCAGGAATACCTACACCCATTCAGCCAGGGAGCAGAAAAAGGCAAAAAGTGATGCGCTAATTGGGTCGAGGAGGGTAGCAGATGTGTATTTTGATCTGATGTGGAAAAGACGAAAAAATACAGCTAGAACCCCTGCAAAAATTTATAAAATTTACTTAATTGAAAATACGAAGTTCGAACCGTATAAAAACGCCAAGATCCTGAAAATTCGGCCAGAAATTCTCAAGCAATTTTTCAAAAATGCCTGCTAATTTTTATTTATACAAAAACGAAAAGATTAAAATCTGCGCAAAGTGGTCAACAAGGAATTTTGAGCTTTTAAAGCTTAAAAATTGGGAAAATTGGACCAAAAATGCTTGTCTTTTTTCCATAATTTCGAATGAATTTTTGAGATTTGGAGCATTTTAAATTGAAGAATTTGACTTTAAATTTGGATTTATAAACTCTAACTTTCTAGAAACCAAAAATTACAAGCGATTTAAAATATCCGAAAAACCGACCTTTTCGAAGGCTTCTCCATCTCGCCCTCGTCACTGGGTCGAACTGAAAATGCCGAGATTAGCAGAAACCTCTAAACTGTCACCCAGACAGTCCAAGAAAACCGGAAAGTGCAAGGGTGGAGCTGTAATTAATTCCCTGTTCTACACCTATCCTACAGTACCCTCCACTCCTCCTTCCACTCCAAGGAAATGATTTCTCATCATTTCCCCACCCATTCCATCTCCAGTGACCGGATAGTTCTTACTAAAAAGCCACAGAAATATTTTGAATTCTGATAACTTCTTTCAATTTTTAATGTCCTGTGCAATAATTCCCGTATTTTTGCATATAATTTATTTGTCCGTGGTATTAATGCATCTCGGCTCCCATTCCATTCCCATCCAAACTATCCAGAGACAGCTTCACATGAGGCACTAGAAAATGTCCTCAAAAAATGCAAATTTAGAGCTACCGTCCCGAAAAAAAAAAACGAAAAATCCGAATAAATGTCCCAAAAAACCCGAAAAAGCAAAAAAAACGGAAATCGGAAAATGGAAATCCCATTTCCCTGAAGCTACCGTATCCCAGATCTACAGTACCCGTCCCGTCCCCATTCTTGCGAGCATTATTGGGCATTCTGGTTGGCTTTGGCTGGGCGAGAAGTTTCATTTCTCCTCCCATTCCACCATCAAAAATATCCAATGAACGTTTTGCTTTTCCTAAAAATACCTCGAAAATGCAAATCTGAATCGACCGTAACCCCGTGAAAACCAAAAAAAGTCAGTCTTAAAAACAGTATCTACCCGACGCTGGCCCCTTGCACTTCGGGTGCAGTTTCCCATCTTTGCCCACCAACATTTCACCCATTTGCCCATGCCAAATATCCAATGAACGCTTTTGTTTCCCTACGAAATTGGCCACAATTTTAGCATGAAAGTCACAACATTTACCCGCCGAAGATGGCTTTTTGCATTTGCGATGCAGTTTCCCATCTTTGCCCACCAAAAAGTTTCCCATTCCTTCCCCAGATAGACTACCCAACGAACGTTTTCCTTTTCCTAGAATTGTCAAAAAATTGCATTCATTGCCCCGATTAAACTCTTTCACCTTACTTCAATGATATATTTATTTTGAATCTTAAACCCTTGATATACGTACCGTAACCAATTGCCCTAAAAATCCAAGTAAGAACATACCGCTATATGCGTGGGAGAGAGCAGCGACGATGAGAAGGAAGAGCACGGGTCGGATGAGGATATTCAGATGACTCATCTTACTGTAGTAGAAGAGGAGAGAGAGAAGGGATATTGTGATATGTCCCTCGAAATGGGTACCCGAGTCTAGCTGAAAAATATATATTAATTCGTAAAATCGCTTAAAATGGACTGAACAGCGTAAATTTGAAAAGAATGGAATATTTTAAAGGGACAGCGACAGCCAAGATTTGAGAAACAATGAAAAGTGAACTTTTAAAAGGACGTCACGTCTGACACATCAATTTTTCAGGAAAAATTGCATAATTTTATAAAATTTTCGCAAATATTCACTGCTAGCCTGCCATTAGCAGCATATTTGCCAAACTGACTGCCAACTCGTATGAATCCGCCGAAAATTTCGTAAAGAATCACTGCTAGCCTGTCATTGTTTCGTTATTAGCTAGACTGACATCCAGATAACCGAACTCAACTGGAAAATTCCACAAAGAAACCCTGCTAGTCCGTCCGAGAGTGGCAATCTTCAAACTGACAGCCAGTTAGCTAAAATCAACACCAAGTGACGCTTCAACCCCAAGCAAAATATTTTTCAACGCGATCAAAAACCTCCGCCCACTCGTTACTCAAAAATAAGGTGTTCCAGATCCAGAAAGGGGGGTTCCCTAGTCCCAAAGGTTTTCCCCGATTCCGTCTCACTCCAAATCCCAAGAATCCGTAACGAGGTGTCGAACGGAACAATTGACCGCCAAAAGGCTAAAAGGCTTTTTACGACTTTTTGCAACACCAAAAAACGGGGGCTAGCGTCGCCTACTCTACTCGCACCCAAATCTCATTTTTTATCTCTTATTAGATGAGGGGTGTTGAGAAAGGGGAGAAAGGGGAGTAGAGAAATTGAATCAACCACCCGGAACTGAGGGTATTTACGGGTTTTTGAGGATTTAGAGGGTAACTTAAATTCCAGTAAATGTTTTTTAAGTCCTGAGGCCTTTGAAAAGCTCAAAATCACTTAAAAATCAATTTCGAACATGCTAAGTGGCCTCGAAGTTTAAAAATTCACTGATTTTCTGATAGAACATTTTAGGAAACGCGCCATTTTGATCAGATAGAGTAATGTGTTTTGCCACTCCAGCAAAATGTCTAACTTTTACAAAAGAGCCATTTGAGGGTTGTGCCACTGACTGAGTGGGTGGTCCCCTACTATTCATCATCTAATTGGCCTCTCGGCCAGCCGGCATCAAATTTGAGCTCGTTTCGGCAAAACCGGCGGCCAAAAAAAGTAACGGGAAGGTCGACCAGTGCCGGATTACATCCATTCAGGGAATAGCACGTTGTTGTTTTTCTAGGTAGGATCATTTTTGGGTTTAAAGGTGTATGACAACCGTGTTTTTCCCAGATTTTAGCAACGAACTGAATCGATGGAGATAAAGTGACATCCAGTTAGTAAAAATCAACCTGAAAATTCCGCAAGGAAAGGCTGCTAGCCTGCCTCTACCGTGCCATTGGCTAAACTGACAGCCAGCTAGTAAAAACCAGCTAATCCGCAAAGTATCACTTCCAGCCTGCCCTATACGTTTTTTTGGCTAAACTGGCGGCCAGCTAATCGAAATCGGAGGCCATTATCCCCAAAAAACGATGCTAGCTACCTCAAATTTCGCTAAAGCTACACCCGATTCCTCTGAACGGTCATCTGATTGCCAGCCAATGCCCTGAAGTCCCCAAGAGAATTCCGTAAATTCCCAAAAACCCAGAAAACCCAGACCCGAAAAAACAGTGGAAATGAGGGGCTAATGGGGAAGAGGGGAGGGGAGATGATTTGTCCCCTCTTCTTTGTCTCTTTCTTCATGTCTAAATTCCTAGGATGTGGATGGAAAGAATGGACACACACCAATAACAAATGGCCAAAGCAGGGAGGGGGAGGACCCACCAAAGATGGGCCCCAAGGGGACACTCTTTATGGAAAAGCAAATGACTCGTCACGGGTTGAAAAACCATAAGTAAACTGATGATGGCAATAGTCAACGTCAAAAACCTTGAAAATTTCCGCAAAAAAACGCTGTTAGCACGCCTTTAGCATCTGATTGGCTAGACTGTCAGCCAGTCAGTAGGAACCAGTACAGAATTTCCGCAAAGAAACTATGCAAGCTTGCCCTTGTTATTTGATAGTGGTATCTGTCAAGCAGTTAGTTGAAACCGCAGAAAATTCCGCAAAGAATCATCGCTAGCTTGCTTTTACGGCTCGAACTGTCCAAACTGGGTCCCAGTTCGCATAAATACGCGCAACACTCCGCAAAGCACCAATGCTCGCATGTCCTAAGTCTTCTATTAGCTAAAATGACACACAGTTAGCAGAAATTTAAGCAAAGAATCGCTGCTAGCCTGCCTTTGCTGCTCCATTGGGTCAAATAACAGCCAGTTGGCCCAAATCAGCATAAATGTCCCCAAAATTCCCTGCTAGCTTTCCCTTGCGAGCTCAATAGCTAAACCGACAGCCAGTGAGTAGGAATAAGCCACAATTTCCGCCAAGAAACACTGCTAGCCTGCCCAAGTATCTCACACACTGAATTGCCAGGCAGTTAGCACAAATCAGCCATAAATTCCGCAATAATGCTGCTAGTCTGCCTTTGGTACTCCATTACGTCAATTACCAGCCAGTTAGCCCAAATCCAATTAAAATTTCCGCAAAAAACTTTGCCAGATTACCCAAGTAGTACCATTGTTCAAACTGAAAGCCATTAAGATGAAATCATCAGAAATCTTTCGTTTTATACTGTCTACCCCCCGCCCACAACGACAAGAAAATTAATCTCAAAATTCTCGATTTCACCTGCCGCCCCACGTACTCATTTCTTTCGTATTTTCTTTCCCGTAGTTTCTTACCCCGAAAATACAGGTGAAAAGCACAAAGAAAATAAAAACAAATTGAATTAATAAACTTTTCGCCGTAACACCTGGCTGGATAGAAATTGGATCATTGGTTTTAGTAAAAAAATGCAAAGCTTCTTGAAATTGGATTTCTGAGGTACAGTAAGATTTTAGGGATACTGTCTGCCAGACAGTTCACCGTTTTAAAGCATCATTTGATGGTTTATACATTCGTCTAGGTCACAAACTGCCGTCCAGACCACCAAGATTATACCGCTTTTTGCGGGAAAACCCGAACTTTTTGGGTAAATTTTTGGTCAATTTATTTTGTTACTTTTGATTTATGGCTTTTGATTTTTTGCTCGAGGCGAGAAGTTTTTATTGCTAAATTTATAAAATGCTGCACTTTTATATCTATTGATTATGCTAGGAACATCGCGACTTTTTGGCCACTTTGAATGAGTTTGATGGCAAAACTTGCATTTTTACCCTAAAGATTGTGCTTTGTACTACTTTAGTAATTTTATCTTGTAAGATGACCGCCAGAAAAGCGATTTATCTATTGACTATTACCTTAATTTAATAACCTTAATTTAATATAATTTAAAAAATTTTAAGCACAATTATTTCGATTTTTTACCCCAGAGTTTCGAGAAAATCGTTTAACTTTAGAAAATCTTTTAAGGTTACGGTAACTATCAAAAACGCTAAACTGGCATCCAAAAAACATATTCGCGGTTGAAAGTTACCGTAATCTGCCCGAGAAAAATTCCAAAAACTACCATCATCTACCCTGACGTCCATTATATAGCCCTGATCTTTTTAGCCATTTTTACCGCCACATGACGATTCTATCAAAAATTGGCCCGCGGTTCAGACTATAATTTGATGGCAATTACTATGCTAATATTGTTGCCAGGTTCCCGCGTGGAATTTTGGAAAAAATGACAAAAATGGTACGATCATTTCCCTGGGGGGAAGAAGGGTCCAAAATGATGATGATGGGGGAAAAGCTACGAAAAACGCGATGAAGCCAATTATAATGGGAAGAGGGGGATTATTGGGGAAAATTGGTCTCTCTGTTCTGTCTATACGATCAACATTTTATGTCTGGCTAGGCTCGAATTGACGTAAAAATTGGTATAGAGTTTGACTTTACAAGGCCCTTTAACAACAAAAAAAATGGAAAGTGGAAAACAACTGAGTACCTTTAAAAGTACCATAAATTTTCCCGTCAGAGGCCCTTGAAAATTGTAAAAAGGAATATTATATTCCGCAAGGGGATAATATTCTATGGATTTTGCCTTCGCAGGTCCTGAAAAACGATAAAAGTGAGAAATTTCAGAAAATCCATAGAAATTACTATGGATTTTCCTTCACAAGTCCGTTAAATTCCAAAAATCCTTCGTTAGGCCGTAAATAGAGTTTATCCGGATTTTCGAAATTAGACGACGTGAGGCTGCACTATACTTGAAACCCTACTAAATTTAGAAAGATCCAATTTTAGCTTCAGAAGGAGCAGCAGCTTTAGACAGCTCATCCAATAGAAAGAGAGAGACAGAGAGAGAGAGAGAGAGAGACAGAGAGAGAGAGAGAGAGAGAGAGAGAGAGTGCTACCTTGATATTGGATGCCGAGGATGGCACCCCAGCACGACATTTTCAAGGGATGGAGACAGCGAGATGGAGAGGCGCGAGAGCAGAGAAAAAGATCCAAGCTCTCGAGCGAGATCTGTGATTAATGGGAGTCAATTTGGTGCGGGAGCAGAAATTTATGCGTGTTTTGCACTAATGTTGGCGAGACTGGATGACGAGTTCCTGGTTTTAAAGGGAGAGTGACATCTACCGACGTAAGAGAAGAAAGAAAAGCAATAATTTCGAAAGATCTTGATTTTCTAGACCCGCCGAACCAAGCCAAGCAAGCCAGGGTCAGATTTAATTAGCGATACCTTTCTTCCGGTCGAAATCCAGCCAGATCCAAAGATCTTTTCAGCAAAAAGAAAGTAAACCCGGAAATATGGGGTTTTCTTCTTTTGGGTTACGGTAAGCATAAGCTGAATTTTTCCGAAATACGTAAATTCTAAAATTTCAGATCGATCTTTCCTTCTGGCTACCGTAGAACTAGATCCGAATTTTTCAGAAATCAATAACGTAGAAAAATTCAAATTTTTTGGCAGGCTACGATAGACTCCGAAATTT